ACATTGAGTAATAACAGTTACAATATAACATTATTAAATGATTAATCTATTTACACAAATAGAATTTCTGTTTAATAACAACTAGCTCTAGCTAGATAAGAAATACAATAAAAATGAAAAACAACAGTCTGACTGTCATCGTGTGTCTTAAACATTGCCTAACTAGTACACGATTTAAGTTGTCCGACTTACTGATTTCTCAGCATACCCGTGGTTCTAGTTTCTTATAGCCTGTACTGTAAAATGTAAATGCAGTAATCATTTTAATATGTTCTTTTTAAACTTCAATCACTATCAAGCTACTAATGTTTTTATACTTATAAAATTGTTAATTATTAAGTTTTTTCATGCTGATAATAGAAAAACATTGAAATGTCAGTAATATAAAATTTCTTTGGTATTGCCTCAATGTTTCTCACAAAACTTTGATTTCCATCTCTTGAATCATTTTAACATCTCTTCAAGGAGATTATGTAGTGTCATCAAATGTTTTCTTGACAAATAATGTATTGTTTATCTAGGATCAGAGTGAATTTTCCACTAATTATATATTATCTATCACACATTATAACAAAATCCATTACTAACCTTATATGAAATCTAGGGATAATCACTTTTAATGAAGCATCAAGCTATTTAGTTATAGTAGTCTTTGAATATTTATAGGTAGAAAAACCCATTGAAAGGTATTAATCATACTTCTACCTTGTGAAAGGTTTTGTACTACATTACATATACGATACATTTTCATGTACAATACTTTAGAGTTGAAAAAGCAATTTCATTCTAAAACTGCTATATCTGATGATGTCTATCATATTAAACAAAGGGTAGTTCAAAAATGTCTTAAAAATCTGAAAATAGGAAGATTAGTTTCAACTGTGAACAATGAAGTAGCAAATTCCATTAACCACCTAGTTCTACTGCAAGGTAAGTATGTATCGCTATGCATGAGAAACTATGACTTGAATTTGCTTACTTGGGAGTAATAGGTTAGGTATTGGTATTTTCAACATCAATGGCATCTAGCTTATGTGACATACTGGCTGAATGAAAAGTTCAGAGATCCCCAAGATTCAGGCACAGTCATCTCCAAGTTAAAACTGGTGTCAAAAAAGAGCAAAACCAGTTAGCAGCCCCTATCACTTTCATCGGTACTATTAATTGAATAGTGGGATTGACTGTTAAAATTACAGCACCCCACAGTCAAAAGTATAGAGCACGTTTAACAACCTATCAGAACTTCAGCACTACCATTCAGGATGCTGTGCAGAAGAAATAAAAGTTCAGAGGTAGGTCCTAAGGAAAATGCTTGTTTTATTATGCATGTCACAGTTAAACACAATGATGCTAATGAATGGCAGATGAAAGAAATTAACAAGGACCAAAGAGCAACTTCTGTGCTTTAAGGATAAGTTTTGGTGTACAGCATATGTAGCAATTTCAAGAGCTTTTTCATATTTTTTTAGGTACAAGCAACAAATCTGAAACAGGATGCAAAGATTAAATGAGATATAATCAGAAAAGTCTGAATCAACAGACAAGATGTTTAGATCGTGCGAGACAGTTTTAATAATTGTGAGATGTTTACACGTGATGTATTTCACTTAAGCAGGTTGGAAAGCTTCTAACCAAACTTTATGGATCGCTTAAAACAGTTTAAACAGAGGTGCATAGATAGAGCTCTGACCTTGGGGAGTGGATAATGTCACAGATTTTAGGGGACATAGTAAATTATACTAATAATACTAATACTATGATTAGCATGTCTGATTTCCTGGTATTAGTTGAACAAGAATATGAAAGTCATTTTAATGGTTTTAAGGTAAGGGCTAAACATTAATGACAGCAAACTATTGCAATTTAACTACTAGAGCTTAGAAAAAATTACTAATACATATTTCAGAACAAAAATTTGTAGAGCTTTCTTTTTATGTATCACTACATCCATGATACCCACATCTCAGTCATTTATAATGAAGATTACTATAATTGTGATTAATAACATTGTATCACTTACATGTACCATGCTGGTTTTACAATCCTCATTTCAGCTGCATGTCATACCGGCTAAGTAATAGATAGTGAAACTAAAGCTTCAACTTACTTGATTAGTTGCAAGACACAGGAAAGATAGCTCAACTTACACTAACCAGCTTATGTAGTGCAACTTTAGCAGAAGCATGATTAAAAATACTGTGCCTAACTGATTCAGGTTGCTAATTTGAGGTAATAATAGAATATAGAAATGACATCAAATGAAGATTTGTTTTCCATATTTCTCTTAATTTGTTTATAATGTTAGGTCTATTGACTTCTAATACTTTGCTAGCTTTTGTAATTTGAACCATAAATTTTAATAATAAAACATTTGTTTCTGTATAGGGTGGTATCAGCAATGGGATACTGTAGACTTCATCAATCCAGGAACTTGTAGCCTAGATACATGTTTCCACCCAAACTGAACATCTTTTAACTTTAGTGAGATAGTTAAAATAAAAACACTGTCACATGAAATAAAAGTGTTTCAATATTTGAAAATATGACAGAAGATATACACATATATCTTCACAATTAATATGTGAAATAATTATGACACAGTTACTTATTTTTAGAAAAAAACAAACAATCACATGTCATTACTTCATTTATTTTTTTATTAGTACAGTACTGTTAGTAATTGTTAGCTTAATACATGTATTTAGGACTAACCTAAATCTTCTAAACTGGCATAGCCTTGATAGATAATACTGAGATTATAGCTGAAAATATCATAACAGCAAGGGAACCCATCTGATGAAACAATTTATTCTAATCCTTATAAATAGAAACATAAAAAAGGTGTATTTAATGAGTTATGTTGATTGCCAGGCTGATTTTAAATTTCAAGTACAAAGATTGCTCTGACTAGAATATTAATTTATCAATATTGCTCACAGAAATCCTCAATTTATTATTGGGGAAAAATATAACAAGCAATCATTTGTTAGTGCCTTCAAAAGTTAAGGTTGAGGCCTTAAAGTATTTACTAATTAGAGGAAGAGAATTTTTGTAAGATGCAAGCTAAAAGTAAATAGGAGAAGTAATATATCACTGAGGCTGGAGAAATTGTGGAGGATGAGGTTGAAGACCTTTAAAGGAAGAAAAAAAATCTACAAGCCACCAGCATAAAATTGAAGAATTTCTAGAGACTGTGGAGAATTTTCTTATACAGCACGAGACATATTCTACTAATGAAGATATTGCTTTTGACTTTGTGGAGGTGGTGGTTAGAAATAATGTAGTTGTATAAGAGTACATTATTCTTACATATAACATTATCTTTATTAAAACTAGTTACAGTTACTATTAGAATTATGTCCCCAACTTCTGGAAAACTAACTTTTGGCTGTGGTGAAAATAAAAAAGTGTTCTTGGAATGCTTTCTGGTTTAAGTAATTTGAACTGTGAGAAATTTATGTTACCTTAATGTTAAAGGATTATAGGACACCTAATTCAGATGCCATAAACTGTTAAGAGGTTCAAACAATCATCTTATTGGTAGTTTGTGTGAATGGTAAAATGAGAAAGATACATATTTATATAACTGAATATTATATGAAAAGAAACCTAATAAAATGAGTACTTTCATAAAGTGTACTTTCTTTATTAGAGTTCAAACTAAATATTACAGATAAAAGATCTGAGCTTCATTAGCCCATATCAATGGGAAACTACTTCAACTATTCTTCTCCATGACAAAAACAATGTCTTCATGAGTTAATAAACTATTTCTGCCTATCCTCAGTTTCACATGTGGTTAAAAAAAAAAAAAAGATACAGACTTAGGTCAGTTATAGATTTATGGAATGGTCTGCCTGATGATAATGTAACCCATTTTAGTTCTTGGTTTGAAAAGATTTAGTAATTTTATGGTGCCTTAGTTTCTTGTTTAGGTAAATAGAAAGAAGGTGGAGGGGTGACCTCAATGAGTCAGATGGGCTTCTGTTACACTACTTTGTTTTACATTCTTATGATATAAAACAATTCTGAGATTTGTTATTTCAAAAACAACTATAAAACTGATATCAACTGCTTTAACAGCATGGCATACATAGTGAAACTTCCAGTATATTATTCAAGTTTCCTTCAAAAGTTCAGTAGCTCTCTGTACATTATCTTGAACACTAATTTTTGTACTCCCTAGCTCTACTAAAACTTGAGAATGTTTGAGTGATTTCTTCCTTAACTAGTTTTATTCTCATTCAGTGCCTTCTTTTTACAAATAAAGCAAGTTATTTATCATGGAATAATCACAACTACAATTGTCCCACTGTTGGGTGAAAGTTAACTTACAATAAAACAGTAATCTAGCAAACTGAAAATCCAAAAAATATCTGAATGGTAAAGTAATTCACTACACTGCACTTACAGACTAAGAATTTCTTGATTTTTATATCAGAATCAAATATCCTCATTTAAACTTAAAGTGACATATCTCTAGAATACATTTCAGCACTATCTATATTTTGTATTTCCTTAATACTTAAAATTTAAAGATATAACATTAAACTCCTTAATTGCCAAACTTGTGATGTAATACACAGTCTACATGAATGTTGACTACAGTACAAAAAACAATCAGCAAATATTGAATAATTTACAGAAAACAATACATTTTAATCTTTACAACATAAAAAAAAATTGTCTTGGTACAGTACTAAAATAAGGGCTAAGCTAATATAAGAGAAAAGATTAATAAGGCAAAATCAAATAACTGTGAGTGACAGTATTTATTAAATTTCATATTTATTTCACTTTTTTTTTTCAGAAATCTTGGGCATGCTAAGTATAACTTCCATTTTCAAACAAAATCAGAAAAACGGTTAGGCCTATACATGAAATTTACATTTTTTTAAATAGAAAATAGCTGTTACATTAGAGTACACGTGTACCAAAATGAGAAAAAAACCCTTCATGCCTTCAACATAAAAATTAAACCTTATTCAAGCCCTGCCTACCTGTACAACTGTTTGCCTTCCTCACGGAAAGAATTACACTACTAGTACGGCTCGAGATGTCTAGAACTCGGAAGCCATTAACCTCAACAAAATGTCCATCTCCATATTGATGTATATATTTTTCTATATGATTTGATTATAATATGTACATTTTCTGTAATTATTTGTTGTTATCAATTTAATGCGACCACTACCAACACTTTAACAGCATGTAGGTAAAATTGATCTATAATTAAACTTGTATGACTGTCAGAGTTTCTTCCAAATCTTACATCACTTGCTAAATTGAGCTACACATGATGTCAGCTCTAGCCAATAAGAAGTGAAGCATTGCGCATGGCATGATATCATTATTATCCAATAAAAATGTTTTGACAAGTAGAAACATCTGCGTTAGGCCTATTTTATGAAAAAAAAGTTAACGAAACATTTAATCTACTCTCATTTGAGAATAGATATGTTGGCTTATCAAAAATTATTTTTTCCATTTTCTCTAGATGAAACCTCTGTGGATAAAGTTTGGACATTTTCCACTAATGGATGTTTCATCACGCTTACAGGGGAGAAATCACAGTAAGTGTATAAATGCCTACAATGTGTGGGTACTATTGAAGAGTGTAGTTTTGAACGATTAACAGTAACAGCGATACTGCATGTAAAGTAGGCCTACACTATACAGGAAAACATAAAAGCGCAGGCGCGTGTACAGCTGTAAGTGTAACTGTAACTGAAAAAAGTGAATTTATAAGCTTCAACTTCAGATTATAGGCTTATAGCTAGTGATTGATTCACGATATTACACCAAGCTCAGTTGCTATCCAAGAAGATTAATACTACTTGAAATTTAGTGGTATTCAAATTCACCTACAAATCGTTCAATTTTTTTTAGTTATATTGCTCTCGCTTATTCAGTTAACTTAATGTTAACAGTAACAGTAGAGTTCAAGTTAAGTTAAAAGTAAAACTTCATCCTGTTCTATTTCAATGCAACTTGCAAGCGCCAATGATACTTTGAATTATTTGAAAGTGAGCAAAGAGTACAATAAATTAATTGAAGTGAGGATCCAACTGGATAAATACTAAAGTAATGAAGTATAAAGACCAGCATATCACTGTTTATATTAGGAAAAGAAGGGTTATCAAATTGTATACATGTTAGAGATAACGATGTTGGGAAGGTTAGGTCAGAGGAGTGAATGGAAAAGTACAGGAAATTGCCCAAACATGTAAGTGTAGAGGTCATAGATCGATTTTTATGGGTATGTTACAGAGGTTTAATTGTGGTGAGAAGGTTCCAAGTAGGTCAAGGAATAAGTCTTATGTTGAAATCTATGTACCATTTTAAGGAGTTTGGGTGTATGAATTTAAGATGCTTGTTTCAGTGTTTGTTGAAAAGTTTTGGTGGAATGGATGTTTTGCATGTGAGTAAGATAGTAGGTTGATGTTTTTGCAAAGGCTATTAAATATTATTATACTAATGAGGAAATAAATGTTTCTAATGCAGTCAATTAAAGTTATGTGGGGTGGTAAAGTTGAGGGATAATGGTGATGGGGGATCAGTACATGTTTCCTCTAGTTCTGTAAATCTTCCATCCTGTGTGTCAAACTCATGGCACGTATCCTTGATTTTCTTCTTTATCAAGTTTATGTCTTTAGTAAGCTAGATAGGTTTCATCTACTCTGTTATCCTTTTCTCTTTTTAGGAAAATGCATATTTGCAAAAGTTTTGATACATGCCCTACATCACCTTTAAATTCATTATCCCAATTAAATAATTGGAAATTTTGTCTTGTTCCCTCAAAATTGTCTCTTTGAAAATTGGAAACTAAAACTTTATTTGAACTTGAGCTTAATTTCATTGGCAAAAATTAGTTATTTCATGTTAGTAAATAAAAGCATTTTAGAGTAGTCTTGGGTTATTTGTCTTTGATTTAAAAAAAAAAAATGTTTGTCAAAACAAGCTTTTTTTTTTTTTTGAAATAACCTTTCAATGTACAGTTAAGTTAATGACATACTGAACATTCTTGAGTAAATGTAAACCTTGTTACATTTTGGTATCTTCTTGGGCATATGCATCTGTTTGGAACCATTTTTGAGTATGTGTAACTACATATACATGGTTTTTCCAAATAGTGAAACAGTCAATGAAGGCTGATTTTAAATAGTTTGATTGTTCTCCTTAATTCATGTATTTGAAGTATTGGTGTTATCAGATGTATTGCATAACAAAAAAAACTTTTGGGTAATATTTATGTAGTTTTGTTTGGCCACATCACAGCCATCTCGTGTTTATTTCAAAACATAGTGCACATTGTAGTGTGACTGATAATTTTTTTTTGGATAATAAACCTTTTCTTGTCAAACTAAAAAAATAAAGTGAAGTACTGATTTCATTATTGTCCTAAGTTAGAAATCACTAAAGATATGAAAATAGGTATATTTTTACAACTTTTTCTTTACACAAAAACTAACAGTGCTTGTAGAAGTGTATTGTTCCATCAAAATACAAAGATTAGTTGTTTTTTTTTGCTTAAATTTTGTATGTGTGCTAACTATGTTCTATAAAATGACACTTGTATATTCAAGGTGTAAATTTAGATGGCATATTGCTTATCTTATTGATATGATTTTGTTTTATCTAAACAACTTGTTACTTTGTTAAAGAGCCCTACATAAAATAGACTAGGGTAAAAAAATTAAACTTCCACATTATAAATAATTTACTGATTAAATTATATCAATTTTATATCTACATGCATTTTGTAAGTCAAGTTAATTTTTGCTCATATTTATTTAAAATGAAATACGTGAGATAGATTACTTCTGCAGAGACCCCTCAACTATACCAGTAAAATCATGTTTAACTGATTTCCATGAAATAGTTAACAATGCAATAAAATATTTGAATTGGAAATAAAATATTGTAGATACCTATTTAGAATAGGGAACCAAATATGTTCTATATAATGCATAGCAGGACCATTCTGAACTATATGTGTATTGTTCTTTGAATTTGAGGGTAAAATATGTATTTTTTCTTGTCATTGATGTTTGACAATTGTGTTTCAAAGTTATGAAATTTTTTATATATTAAGCTACGATTAGTGTTTACAGGAAAAAAGTTTATGATGTGTGTTGTGTTACATTAAAAGTGGAACATGGCTAAAATTTTGGTAAAATAAAAATTAAAAGAAAAAGGAATTTCATTATATTCAGTTTTTTTTTTCCTTTTATGGAGGATTTATTTAATGCAACTCTTTCCAGGTGTAAAACATCACTGTTATTCCAAGCTGCAGTAACTCTTTCAACAAAGAATGACCAAGTGATTTTTATTCGACCAAAACACCTAGATAAACTACCTTTGCATGTTCACGGAATGCCCTCTCCTAAACCACTGGCAATGCAGCATGTAAAATTAATGTATGTTAAATATTGTACCTTATTCAAATTGCAGCGAAATCATTTAGAAAAATCAGTTTGTATTGCACATTAACCCTTTAATACATGGACACTGTATCTTGTATATGTTATGCTTTTAATTAAAAGTTTTAATTTTTTTTTCATAATTTGTTAATTTGTGGGTCATAAACTCCAAAATATAGATGAAAACAAATAATGATCATGAAAATATATTCTGTGTGTTAAAACTTGTCTCCTTTCTACTTCTGAGTTACAGCTTGTATTAAGTTTGTGTAATTTAACTATTGACAAATATATATGTGAAAAAAAAAAATGTTATTAAACTTCAGATATTTTTCTAAATGTTTGATGTGTTCAAAAATTAAAGATATTTGTGGTATTTAGGGTGTACTTATTATTGTTTGTGTGTTATGTAACAAGTAACAAATTCCTTTACAGGAGACAAATGTTTTATATTTATGACTAGCTGAAGTATCCTCCATTGGATGGGTGAAATAAAAACTCTTAACAAAGGATAGGAAATTGTGCTTCTATTTTTTTATTTTTTTCTGAACATAATAAAAAGTGCAATAAAAATACATAAAAGTACCAATGCTGAAAGGAAAGACATACTGATTAGATGGGGGGGGGGGGATCTACCTCCTCATGTCGTCCTATATCACTGTGTCAAGGTTGGTGCTGATTGATCAAGTGTGGAAATGTATAAGGAACAGATTCACTCTTTAGATAGTATTTTTTATGGAAATTTCATTATGCAATGAAATTTTGCTGAATAGTTCAAAGCATTTAGAAAAATTACTTACCTTATAACTGTACATTTATATACTTGAATAGATATTACTTGAATTGTTAATTTTTATGAATGTGGTTAGTCATTAGTCTTTTTTGTAAACTGTAAATCTAGATCAAGTTTATGATGTCACTAATTAAAATATCTTATTTTTGTCTAAGAAGTTATGTAATTTTTTTTTGTCAAATACATCTTTATATTTTGCATTATCATTATTATGTGTATAATGCTTTCGTAATACCAGTTGTGTACCTGTGATATGCAGTTTTTACACTTACTCCCCCCCCCCATTCTATTTTGGTACTTCTTTCTTATTGTTAAATTTTGAAGATATTATTATAAAATACCAGTTCTTATGCAATGAATAGATATTTTTATCTTTAAATAATTAAAAAAATGAATTGAAAGAAGATATTGTTAAACATTATTGTAGGTATATGTGGTCAGTATCTGACTTAGTGCAGTACTTGGCCAGAATACACATGAACTCAGTGATCCCTGCAGCAATACTAGTGGATGATCTTGATCATTATGTTACTCAACTCACTAAAGTAAGTACTGTTGTTTAATGTGCACTTCCAGGTTTCTTTAAATATTTGAAACTTATGTGCAGAGTTGTTGAAGAAACTAAACTTAGTATTTAATTGTAGATATAAAGTCAGTTACAATAGTATAAATTTACTTACTTAACTCTTTCCATAAGGGATTGGTTGATGTGACTGACTTTTTAACCACAAAGTAACCAACAGATTTTCCATCCTATAACATTTAATATGTTTTGTGTATATTCACAAAATTTGGCAAGCTTTCAGTAAACATTGCAAGTCTTTTGTATGTAAGAAATCAGATTTATTAATTGATTATTTTTATTAAAGAATTGTATTTATATCAAATTGTTCAACACTCTGATTTTCATGTTAAAGATTGAAAATACTTTTCTTCATCTGAATATTTTAAAATTTCATTTGCATAACTTCTATAACCTCCAAAATACATATCAAATGTGTGTTTTTAGTAAAACTATATTTTATCTGTTTATATACCATAACCATATACAGACTTGGACTATTTGACCAACCTTGTAACCACTATACAAAATACAAACAAGTCTAAATTATCTTTTTTTCTTTCTAAAATGACTGCAGATTATGAAAGAAAACTACAATTATTTATCCTAAGGAGTCTAAGGCTCATAACAGCCTACATCTGTTTATACTTAATTTTATTGTTTTATTGCCCTTCCAATTGTGCTTAACTAATAATCCAGCCACATGAGTTGGAAATCATTCAGCAAATGCATAGCTCATATTACCATATTGAATGATGTAACATATGGACTGCTCACCAGTATACCTTGTGAAGATTTTTTTTCATTGTCTGACCTTATCTAACCCAATAATTTCCTACTTTTTATATTTTAGTTACTTTTAGAACCATAAATAAGGAATGTACATGAAAAGCAGGAAATGTAGTACTTGCTTTTGACCTCTTGTTTTTTTTTTGTTTGCTGCTGGTTGTTGAGGAAATTTAAGCCTATTTTTCTTTTAATGATGATACTAGTACACTAAATAATTTTCATTTACTTAAATAATGCACTTAAGCACACAAGAATAACATGCACAAGGCAAACAATGTCCTATAACTATTATAATTTAACTGGCTTTCTAACTAGGACAAGGAGGATTTTAATTCCCTTTTCTGCTCGATTTGAAAATCGTGAACTAAACTTTCAAACTGAAATTGACAATACTTTATACTGAAAACAACAATACATTATATGTCATTTGATATATTAAAACTTTGCCTTTCTACTGCTTATAAATTATATAATATAAAACATCATAAAGAATTATTGGCTATTTATGAAAGAGAGGTGTAGGTAGCTCTGATTTTTTAGTTCATAACTCCATAAACAAATAAGATTCAGGTTATAAAATTTAGGCTATTCTTTAGTACTATCTATGTTATAATGAGTAATTGAAATTAAATTTCCTACTTCAAAGAGTGTTGGTAAATTAGAGAAGAGTATAGACCTAGAGAACAAATGTTGAGATTCTCATACTAGGGGAGATTGAGGATTTTTAATAACGTTTTCCTATAAAATTAAGAACTTAAAATTTATATAATATTAAGATTTGGTTTTGATGTCAAGTTTATTTGTATACATTGTTAATAATCTAGTATCATTAAACTTTTAATGTAACTCTGTAAAAGGTTTTGAAATGCACACATTGACATACTGGTTGCAAGATGGTTAATAAGGATCATCATCATTTATGGAACAGTTAACATTTTAATGACATTGTTGAATAAAAAGATTCAAACTCCTTTTAAAAGTGGAAATTATGTCAAGTATGGTTCATCGTGCTCGTACTCTTTAAATTTTTCGAAATGTACATTCACAAGCATTATGTGTTTGTTACATAATTAGTACCACTACAAATTTTCATATACCACACTGGCTGTATAATGTTTGCTTCATTTTAATTCCCATAAAAGCAGAAGCAAGGAACTAAGGTTACAATGCAGATCAAGGGATAATACCTCATGTGACAGCTGAGCAAATGATGAAGTGATCCACTGGCAGTGTTTTTTGATGTATTGATCAAAGTATGACACTTGCAACACTTTGCACTGCTCAAATGCCAAAAAAGTTCCCTGACCAAGGCACAGGTTTCCTATACATACAAATGAAAATTGTTTTGATGTGTTAGTCTCAGCCATCACTGCTGAGGAGTGTTGAATAATCTGAAACATCCAGAGAAGTGTGTTTGAAAATCCATCAGCTGACCATTAGTTACTGTATATGAACAGTACTGTGAAGTGGTTGTTCATAGTGCATCGAGAAAGGTATTATAATGTTATTGCAAACTGTTTCCCATAAAATGTTAAATTTTAAGAGTGAGAAAGGCAAACCTAAGTTAGAGTCAAACAGATATTTATTTGTTAAAGACAAACAAGTAAGGAAAAGTTTATTAAAAATGTGAGCCATTTAAAAAAAAAAAATGCAAAGGTCGTGTATTAACAGTTGGTGATAACGTTAGTCAAGAGTGTTGTGAGCACAACCATTCTGGTGATGCCACTCGTATTGAAGCTAAGAATGTAATGCATATTATTAGAAGTGATTCAAAGAATACACATGATGCACTGCATTATATTTTCTTGCATGCATCGTTTGGACTCTGTCAAGCTGAGGCAGATAAGTTGCCATCCATAGACAGCATAAAAAGAACTATTCAGAATTTATGTGGGAAACAAAATCTAGGGTTAGTTAGTTGTGATAATTTGTATGCTGATGGAATATATAAGACCATTGCAAATATATTTGAACAACTATATACAATTCATGAGCTGCAAGGAAGAATTTTCATCCCTTTAATTTATGCATTGTTGCTGAATAACAATGAACATACATATATTAGACTTCTTAGAGAAATAAAGGAGTTAATACCTGCCTTAAATCCAGTGTCTATACTAACAGATATTGAAATTGCAATGATAAATGCAATTAACATTGAATTTCCATGTGCAGTTAATCGTGGGTGCTTTTTCCATTTTTGTCAGTGTATTTATCATGAAATTAGTGAAAATGGCCTCAGGCAAAAATACGACACAGATGCATAATTCACTTTAGAAAATTTCTATGTTCTTTGCACTAGCATTTATTCCTACAGACCATGTTGCAGAGATTTTCAACTTTCTTATTGATGAAAACATTTTTCTATGCAAAGATACTTGGATTGGACGTTCTGGTTGGAAACAACAATGCTGGCCACCTGTATTTAAGGTTGAGATGTGGAACTGCTATGAAGTTGTACAGCAGGACTTGCTAAAATCTAACAGTTCTATAGAAGAATGGCATCATAGCTTTTTTTTGCAACAAGTTTCTGCAAATCATCCAAATATATGGAAGCTAATTTCTGCGATAAAGAGGGAACAAAGTCTGAATGAGCTACATATTGACCAACTTTTGAGTGGTGAGGAACCTTCTATTGGTTGAAAAAAATATCATAACTGTGCAGAGAGATTAAGAAGACTTGTCAGTGCATTTCAACCAACAAATAATATGAATGTTTTTATAATATTTTTTAATGGTCTGATAAAATTGCCTATTGTATTATCATGATGTAACATTCTCCATTCTGATTAAATATCTCATTTTTGACATATGTATGTCTTTCTATGTGTATTAAGTAATATTGGTCCATCTCACTTCAAAAGATCATTGAAAGGTGATTTATATGCCTTTTTGTAATATTTTTCTTAATTTTCTTGTAATACATTAATTTATAATTAAAATTAAATCTAAAAATTGGACATTCAATTACCTGTTATTTTGAAGAACTGGTTTTGGAGAATTGTTTTAAAAAATTTTTCCGTAAACTCATCATGCTATCAGAAGATAATACTGATGCAGTTAGATAGTTCAAAACTATCTTTTAATTGCTTATTTAAAACAAAACCTAATCCAGCAGAGTTTGTTGTATCTTCTCTTCCAGTTGTTTGTTCCATCTTTAGTAGCTTAATTGGTGTAATTTTAGGTACAGCTAATTTAGACACATTGGCAAATTCTAGAAGTGTGGAAAGCTTTTAATTATAATACAAACAAGCATAACTCTATGTGTGCTATAACAATAGAAAATTAAGAGTTGAAATTGACAGTTTTTGTTTTGTGATTAGATATGAGAATCAAATGTTGTCGAGGATTTGAGAGAGTTCTGTGGAGGCTAATATGAGATAGTTTTTAGTCATCAGAATGTGGTTTATCCTTTTTTTCTCAAATTTTTAGTTATTTAAAAGTACTTTTAGCCACAGTTCATTTAGAGCTGGGCAATTAGCAGTACTTATTAATTGATTAATTGACAGGCTCAATAATCAATGACTTTTGATTAATTTATTAGTATACTGTGCTCTCATAGAAGATAAAAACAAATAATGTTATGTGCTTACTCTCTTAACTTTTTCAAATGCAACATTATTCTATTAAGTGACCTGTTAGTTGGTTTACTTATTATTTTGTTTGAATAGAATAAATATTTTACTGTCAACTACTGTGGTCACTAAACAGTAAACTTATCTGATTAGATGACAATTTATTATTGTTTGGTGAACATAATAACAAAACAAACCTGTGTTTACAAACATTGCAGTTCAATAAAACTATAGGATATCTATTGAAATGTAAAAAAAAAATAATTTTAAACCAAGAACCAAACATTAATAAAATAATTTTATTAAGTCGTGAGCAATCGTCAGTCATGTGACTTTTTTAGTTTGTACTTTATGTATATGCCTGATGATGACTTATAAGTGAAATTGGTGATAATAACAATTCATTTGCTTAATCTGGTTCACACCATAACAGTTGTTCATGAAAATTAATGACATATTTAGTGCCTATGCCACTACTTTGTCTGTTGTATCCCAAATAGCCTGATTCACACCACAAAAGTCCTTATTCATGAAAATTGATGTTGTATAGTGCTCAAACCACTACTTTGTTGTATCCCAGTCAGCCTGATGAGTCCTGTTATTGGGTGAAAGATCTCATTGACACTGGACATGGTAGGTGTAGTGTGGTTGACATAACTTATTCTCCTTTGCTTTCACTCATGGGTTCTTAGAAATAATAATGTGCTTTTTCCCCCCTTGATGCTGTGGTTGCTTTACCTGTTCTGGGAACAAGAAGGCTAACTTACTGGTTTGCTAGTTCTTATGAATGATAGTAAAATAGAATGTAATAATAAATAATAAAGGAAATAAATAATCCATGTACGTACAGAAAGATGTTCTTTTGGTAGTGGTGGATACATGATAGGTTCCTGTGATTTAAAAGTTCTACCCTAATGAAAGTCAGTTACTTAATTTTTAAGTTTGAAAAAGAGATAAAAATTTTTGAGTATAGCCAGTCTTTTTAGTTTACCAATGAAAACTTTAGATGGGGCAAGTAGTCATGTTATCTGATACTGTAGAGTGACGAGTCTTTCCTCCCCACTCCATAGTGCTTAAACTAATGAACAATTAAGAAAATATATTAATTATATTATGTTTACTTTATAATGTTGGTTTATATTTTTAAAATATAAATGTTTGTTTGTACTATAATATGTTATTCAAATAGTTCAGTGAATCCTGGCATGGCTTAGTGGTTAAGGTGCTCAATTCGCAATCTGAGGGTTGCAGGTTTGAAGCCCTGTCACCAAATATGCTCTCCCTTTCAGCTGTGGGGGCATTATGATGTGACAATTAATCCCACTGTTCATTGGTAAAAGAGTTGGCAGTGGGTGGTGTTGACTAGCTGCCTTCCCTCTAGCCTGTCACTGCTGAAGAAGAAAGGTCCACTTTTTCATAATCCACTGATAATAATTAATCCAATTATGTCTGTCAATACAATATACAGTAAGCTTTTTTCTTTGTTTTGACACACTTTCAGTAACAACTGGTGTGTGTAATTGATATTGACATACTTTCTGTGGGGAAATTGGACTGAACATGATGATTGGCTTATGCCTAAATTAATTATGCATGTCGAGTTGGAATAATATGGATAAGTGTGTGTAGTCTCAGTAATTTGGTCAGCTTATTTTGAGAGTTTGAAAACTAAGTATGATGGTATTGTGTATCACCTTTGATATGGCGGTTGACCGACTGTGCTGAAAATAAAAGCGACTCAAATATCACAGCAGGGAAAACAAAAAGAGAAGGTTTAAAGGCAGTTTGCCCAGTCACATGACCTTTGTTATTATGTAGCATGGACACAATTTGAGTTAAGTTAAGATTTTTAACTGGGATTAAACGAGCACTGTTGTCATAATTAAAGCCATGATTTTGGAGTGATATTCTTTGTTGTTGTTCTGTTTGTGTAATATTGTATTTTTCTAATTTATATAAATAATAGATTTTTTTTTTGCCCATAATTTTATTGAAAAGTGTGTGAATTTGAGTATTAATGTAATATCATTGATTAATTAGAATTATTTCCAGTTATTATTGTTATAGGTTATTCCAATTTCGAAAGTAGTAAAAATAATGCCATTATGATTTATCATTATTATTTTCAATTATTTCAAGGTTATTCAGCTTAATCAATGAGTGTTATGACTCATTAAAATAATCAACTAATTGATATCAATGTTTCAGATTATAGTCCAGTAAACCTGAGATTTCAACCCAAACAAATTGTAGTATAATTTTCTTTTAGTATGGTACTTTGGAAAAAGCATGCCTTTTTAACATATTAAACATATGAAAAAATCCAAGTGGTGGAACACTTGAAGTTTTTGGTGAAATCATCTTCTCTACAAAAAAAGTGTGGAAAAATGTGTATAGTGAAGTCTATCATACTTCAAAATATTTGTTTGAAAAAGAGACATTGTAGATGAAGAACATTGATAAAGTTGAAGACTTCAAAAAGTAATGTCTTGGAAAATGTGTAATTTTGATTTTTATCAACAAATGCTTGTTTGTGGCTTGACTACTACTAGTGAGAGGATGTATATCATTAGCAAACATTGTAACTTCTTTTGTGTTTGTTTTTCAGTTAGCTTTTATAATTGATATATGTACTTTTATGTACTGAACCTCTTGATAATTTACAAGATACTGTAGTATTAAGAGAGAAGGGCAGAGAATGAATTAACTAAGCCAGTGTGTACACAAAGATTATGGAAAACGATACATTAAACAACAAAGTGTAAATTCTGAACTAATGCAAAAAGTATGTAACTGATATCAATACCATATGAAATTTTACATTCAGAAGGAACACAATTCATATTCAAAAATGACTGTTTTTTTTGTTGTTGTTTTTTCTGTGATCTATCAGTAGATAGGTTTGAGGTCCTCATGAATTTTTATGTAACATCTCATAGAACTAAGTAATGGAATTCCAATGAGCCATGTCTCATGTTAATCAATCAAAAAATAAAAAAGTTATCTTTTTTTCCAATATTTTCCACAGTTTGTTTACAAAAATGCAGTTTTTACCCCAAAAAGTTATGTTCCATTTCTAGGATTTTAATATTTTCAAGAACATGCACTATTGAATCGAATGCACCATATTTCATTTATGTTGCAATTTGTTTGGGGTTAGGGGTCAAAATCATGTAGGTTGGCTGGATAATTATTACTATTTTTGATTATTCCAGTTATCCAAGTTTCACATGAGAGTAATCAATTAATGAGCCTGATGATCAATCAATTATCAAATTCCACTTATCACCCACCACTATTGAATACACAGCTGTTTGTAATTTCACCACTACAGAAAAATAAATATATTCCAGGAAACAAGTACAGAACAGGCCTTTGCCAAACTAGGAGTGCTTCTCAAAGATGCAGCTGATTTTTGCAGTAAGAAAAGGTAAAGTTGAAAAAATTTCATAACTTTCATCTTACAGTTGGTGGCAGTAGGTTTTAATTTTAAATAAATGACATCCTTCAACTAGTGTCCTTCAACTGTTGTCTTAATGTAGTTTTATGTATCAACAATATTGCTATATTCCTAGTTTCCAAAAATTACAAGCTATGTCTGTACATGTATATCTTGTGATGGAAAAGTTTAAAGTATGTTGTAATGACTGTTAGCAACTGGATTAAAAGTTATATTTAAAATGAATTAAATTTGCTCTTACTTCTCAAACTTTAGACATACAAGTGTTAAGGTATAAATATATAGCTCTATCAAACTATTGTTGAGTAATATATTTATCATATTTTTTAAATATTAACTGAAATATTTATTGACCAGACATGGCTCATATTGAGTGTTAGTTATCAAAGAAGTATACATAATTTTTTTATGAATACCATGTTTACATGAATATTCAGGTGCTTTCATTTAAATTCTTAATTTTCAGGGATGACCAATGTTTATTATTGGCTGCATGTAAACTTCCTGAACAAGGTAATCTGTTCCATTCTATTTATGAACAGTTTGGTGATGTGTGGAACATAAATCGTGGAGAAGTCTCTACTCAAAGACAGAATTTATTTCTTACAATGTCTAGTAATTTGCAATATAAAACATTTTTCTACATAGAAGATGAACAGATATTTCTTGACAAGCTAACAAGAAAAACTGGCGTTTTTTGTTAGTAGACCTTATGATAAATACATACGTTTAAATAAAATCAAGATGTATTTTCTTTCTTTTACTTTTCATAGGCTGTAAACTGGTAACACAATACGGTTCCACACAAGTTTAGTAATGAGATTTACAACTACTTATCAGAAGTATGTGGTTTGAATAAGAAATAAGGCCATTTCCTAGTTGGACCCACTTTATTAGTGTTTTGTTTTTCTTTTCAGAATGTTAGTAGGGGAGATATAGCATGTTGGAGGTTTTTATTATCCTTCATAACCAGATTAAAAGTTAACAAACTGTTAGCTGGGTAGAATTATGAGGAAAAGTTAAAATGTCCATGTCATATGCATGTGTGTACAGGTCTGAAATTTTTTAATTTTGTATGGAAATCAAGAATTGTTTGTTTTTAAATAATCAAGTTGTTTCTTGATAGAATAAACAGGGTTTTTACTGACCTGAAGAAGTCGGGGAAATCTCCAAAATTATTAAAAAGCCATAAAAACTTAGAAAGCAATTGGTACTTGCTTGTGGAATGTACTTCATGAAACACATAATTATATGCTATAGATAAAATCCAGTTTTGGAAAATACATAATTTACATAGAAAACTTAAAGAAAATTGAAGTTAAGAAAAAGTGATCACTCTGGAACCTAACAGAAGACTATTTGTCAAATACTGTGATATAAAGAAAACAATCTAAAAGTAAGATTCTATTCAGTGATATTTCACAAGTTATTAATAAAAAAATTCACTTTCTAATTTAGTGTTTCTTGTGTATAACGTAATGTATCATTTCCATGTCTGAGTACTTTCCAATAGTTTTATATTCTTGTAAATAATATTACTCTATTTTGTAATTTAAGAAGTGTGTCACTGCCCATAAAGGGTATTGTATTATTTGGAATAAACAGTATTATATTTTAATGGGTGTGTAGTTTTCAGTGAAACATATCACTTTGTATTAAATGTTTGAGCTATAACTAATCTCTCTGATATTTTTCTATATATATAAAGCACAAAAATATGTATCTGTCTGTTTGTCCATTATCTAACTACTACTAGGTTGCTTGGCCAATCTCAAACGAACTTGTGGGATGATAAATAGATGGTGCCATGTTCTTACACCAAACAACAACAACAAAATTTATTAAATTTTCTATAACACAACATACACACAGTATGAGGAAGGGCACACAAACATTTTATATATCTTGGAGAGTGTGCTAACACTCTCTATGTAGGAATGAGAAAAAATGGCTGCCACTATTGCAATAATACATAAACTCAGATGAAGTTTATACTACGACACCTACCATAATGCTGATATAAAGAACTGTTTCTTAAGTTATACCCACTTCCTACTTTGACCTTACAACTTCATCCCCTAAGAACTTCTGTGGCCAATTAATTAATAACATGAAAATGTGGAAGGACATTAAGAGCTGGGTGTTGAAAGCGGGTAACAGAAAGCACCCCTACTTTGGCTGCTACCTTTTCATACAAAGTCACCCTGACCACCGCACAGTATATACCATGTTTTAAGTATATACATTGTGAGTTCTTAAAGCTTATACCAAATTTGGTGAGATAATAATGAGTACTGTAATAATGTTATAAATAAATTGAGTGAAAATTGGGATTTTTGTGTTATTTATCATAGCATCCACCTCCACATTTTTTAAAGTTCATAACCAGAGCAAAGGATTGGTACCTCAGCTTGTGTATTAATAAAAGCAAAATTATTGCACAATTTTCACATAAATTGTTTAGTAACTGTAAGAACAGTTTTGTTAGTGTTTGAAAATCCACCTATAAAAAAAAATATATATTTCACTATTATTTGATTTCAAAGAACAAGAACTTTGTTTTGGCTTATCAGTTAGTTACGATAAAGTAACAGCATGTGTTGGGACTTGAACTGTTATTTTAGAAGTTACTTTGCAATGGAGAAATCCCTTAAAATTACAGTAGGAAACTGTAATTTGATCCCTAGTTTTGAAAATTGAGAAGAAAGGACATGGGAAATATGCCAATTAGTTTAACAACTGTTGTCAGCAAAGAATTGTAATTTATTTTTAAAATTAAATACTTTAGAAAACCATTTGATACAATCAATATAAATAAAAGCCAAGTGTCAGTCAGTCACACTTGATTTCTCAGAATTTTGGGAGTTACACGAGTCAAATTCCACTTTTTCTCCTATAGTACTTCCATTTTTGATTGCCTGTTCTTATTTTAGTTGAATTTAATCATTAACATAGGCACAAAAAAGCTACTAAATTTTGGCACATTTTCTGCTATATAAGAGCCTGTCAAGGAGGGAGTTCCCAGGACCAGATCAGGCATGGTGCTATGTGTGTGACACTGCATCATCCACATCATAGTCAAAAATTAGCAGAAATCTATGCTTTGGAATTATTACGAAAAAGCCTTTGTTAAAGTAGACTGAAGATACTAAATATCTGTAAGGAAGAGGACAACTCAGAAGAAGAACATGTATGTATGCAATCACATGGTCATAATATGTTTTAATCTTTTATCCAAAGGCATCAATATGTAGACTTTTCCTCAGAAGTAAAACAGGTGTCATATGGTCATTGTGTGTTTTAATATTTTACCCAAAGGCACTAATATGTAGCATGCTTACATTGTTTAGATAAAGGGGATATTGCTCATGATAGGCTTTGATTTCCCAAAGCTAGAAGGCCCGTTATTTCTCTTATGTCTGTTTATGGGTAGCAAATTTCCAAATGCATATTGGAGGGTTCATTTTTGATGGGCTTTTAAACTAGTATTCAGCATGATTTCAATAAAAGCTTTCTTCTGTTGCCAACTCATCGAATAATGCACCTGCTTTTCTTGATTAAGACTCTAGGTGTACCCTTATTTTCAGGTAGCCTTTGATGAGGTTAATTATGAAATCAGATATGTATATAGAAATGGTGGAAAAGTTAAAAGTGGATAAACAATGAATGTAATGTTAGAAAACAGTGTGGGAATGAATGGACCTTTTATTTTTAAATAGAGGTGTTCAGCTGTGAGACCTTTGTTGTTTATTGTTATTATTAATGTTAAACATTTAAATAGCTTATTGGGTAATATTTTCTAATTTGCAGATCCCAATACATTTTCTGAAAGGATAAATAGTGGTCACTTTTTCTCTTGATTAAGATGACTTGGATAGACAATATAATATTAAAAATGATTCACTTGGAATATAGAAAAAAAAAAGACTTGTATTTAAGAAAAGCAATTGCACACTCTAAAAAGAAAGGATTTAAGTTATTTCTAAAAACAAAAAAACTCGATCCCATTAACCAAGTGCATAGCTATAACTAAAATAATTTAGTTCTTGGATATATTTATTAGAAGTTTGAATTGACGAATAAGAAATTATTATTATAACATTGTATAGCATATTGGTGACATCTTCAATTAAAATACTGTATGGATATTTAAGGTTTTTATTACTGGAAAGGTATCAGCATGTTAGGAAGAGTATACTAAGTGGGCTACTAGAATGGAGAATAGTTGGTTTAACACTTGCAGCTGGGGAAAAAATTATCTCTGGAACTACAGATGACTATTTAGGTGTTAAAAAATGGTTAAGGGCTTAAATGATCTGGTAATTTTTGAATGGCATAATAAAAAGCTGCAAAATATAAACTTTAATATGAAGGTCAACTTAATGCTTTTAAATACAGATTTATTATTATAAGTTTGTGGTGATGTTTACCTAATAATGTGGTGTGGTGCTGTTCATCCAAATTAATTATATATGGATAGGAGTACCATAGGCTAAGTTTAATTTTAATGCTTTGATAAGTTGTTTAAGAGGGTTGAAAGGTGACATAAGTGAGTAGAATGGCTTTCTATCTTTTATTTTTGTTATTCTTACCAAGAAATGCTTCTTGACTTTGGAACAATTTATAATAAAATTCTTAGGCAGGTGTTTGATTAGGGGAAGAAAAAAAAAAGATTGTTTCAGCCTGTTTTTATATTGTCCACTTTTTTTTATTATTAATATTCCATTGCATCTACTTTAATTAATTACATGTTCCTATTTCCCACAACATTCTTAAAACCTTTTTTGTTTACTACATATTTTTACTGTGACATTCTCTTAATGCATCCATACTCACACACAAACCTGGCAATAAACAGTCCGTAAAATATGGCCATGTTTTTTTCTTGTATTTGATATGAAATATAAGTAATGTTTCCATTATTAATATTTTGTACTGCAGTTTTTGTTACTATAGAATAAAAAAACTAACGTTTGTTTTGAGACAGCATTTCAAAAGTATATAATACTATCAATGTGGTGTGAAAAACCAACATGAAACAGTGTTACGATGTCACACTTTGCAAATGATAAAAACATACTTTTAATTCAAAAATCAGTATAAAGATAATTAAAAACTTGAATGAGTGGAGTGTATTTATACATGATTTTATTTCACTGCTGTTTTGTGAACAATTTTGAACATTTTGAGTGTTTTCTTTTTAGATTTAAGTTTTCACAAATGCAACTAAAGACAAATTCATTTCTAGCCCTTATGCATTATTACATATGTAAAACAGAAATCAGAGTCCATTCATACCTCAAACATTTTATTTCCACAAAATTTTCAAAAGTACAAAAATTATTCTTAGCCCTTAAATTTGGGATGTCTGAAAACAGTGTAATTTTAGCTCTTTTTCAATCAGTATACATTCAAAAAAGATAGTATATGATTAAAAGTTTAATAATGCACCAATAATTTTAACAACCTATATCTCTGGAGAATTTAAAACAAAAAAAGACATAAAATGAAAGATCTTGAAATCAGTCTTTTTTATCCCTATTATCTCTCCAAATACAGTAGTTCAAGGCAGAAGCTAATGTAACCCACGCAATATATGGAATCATCAGATATGATGCTTTGTGATTGATTGACCAAAAGGTGTAGATACAACCTCCGATAGTACCCCACAGAGCTATAATATCCACAAGTGCCTAAAAATGATAAAAAGAAACAAACTTAGATTACACTTCTAGGACTTATATACTAATGCTTATATGCCATTAGTGCCAGGAGACAAGGAAAGTTCAGGACCTTCATTAGGCTAAAAGTATCTAATATATGTAAGTTTACATTTTGAACTCAGCTGATAGCAGACAAATCTTTGTATCTTCAACAATTTTATCAGCTTATGGTCTCTGGTAATAATGGTAGCTTACTTGAGAAATGCAGAAAAAAAAATTGTTTACTTGTAGGTATGAATAATGATGATAATGCCATTTATTTTTTATTCTGTGACATGGATAGGAACAAAGTTAAAGGAGGGGGGTCAAGGGTCAATTGCCCCTCAAATTCTGGCCCATATAATTTTTCAGACAAAAAGCACCAAAAAATATGGGCAAAAGCTCCGTACATATCTATAACTTTTATATTTGCAAATTGATCATACCTTTCACTTGCACCTTTTTAACCCTTTAGTGCCATGTGGTTCCAAATGAAAGTCATTGGAACCATTTTTTTCAAGTGACTTTAAACATTATAGTACATAATTTAAGATCAATTTTATATTTTTGGGCAAAACCTGCCTGCCCCCTCCCCCCTATCAAACCCCTATAGATAGGAATAAGTTTTACAAACTTTTGAAGCTCTAACATGTAATCTGAATATTCATTCTATTAAATATGACTGTGGTATTCCATGTTAATGGTACTGAATTTTGAAATGGAATATAATTTGAAATTTCCAACAAGTAGCTGAAAGCTTCTGCGATTATGGTACAATACTACACAAGATCTATCAACTGAAATATAATATTAATTTAGTATAACAGTTGCAAGTTTTCATTTATATCTGTCATAATAAAACATTTTTTTAAGAACCAAATTACATTTAAATTAACTCTCTCTAAATCACTGGCTTCCAAACATTTTTCACTGATGACACCCTTGCCACCACATGCAATATTTGTTTTTTTATGCTTTTAATAATTCTTCATTTGATGAAACTCTTCAAATACCCATAGCAAGTTTCTGTGACACACAGTTTGAAAACCACTGGTTTAAGCAATAGGACGTGAACGTTTTGTTTTCAGATATTGCAAAGCTATTCAAGGGCTATCTGGACCTCCATTACTAATTTTGAACTGATAAATTAAAGGGATGGCAGACAGTCAGCAGCACCCACTGCCAGCTCTTGGGCTACTATTGTCTGACCAAATAGTAGGGATTTCACCGTCACCCTTGTAATAATGCACCCACAACCACAAAATATGGAGTGCAAATTATTATTTCTATTTTTTTCTTTTTTTTTGCAGTCATGGGATGCAATTTATGGACCTGCAGAACAATAATCAATATATTAAAATTTGAGAATGGAAAATAAAGGTTTGACAACCTATAAAATTACATGTTAAAAAATCAAATAACAGGTTTCAGTGAGCTCATATATTTATGCTGAACTACAGATGGTTTAGTGCATCGAATATGAAAATCAACAAGTCACATGACAACAACAGCTGATATAAAGTTACAGTGGAATGGCATGAACCAGAACATTTTAATGTTATTTGTCATTTCATAGGTAGTGAGATGCCACCAAACACTGATCACTTTTGGGGAGGTATGTAGCTGCTCTTTCTGAAGCAAAGTATTCATACAATCAGATCATACAGATGTGTTCAAATCAGAAATGGAGAATTTTCAAGAAAGTGATAATTCTTTTACTTAATGGCACTGGAAAACAAAGGAATATGGAGCAACTTGGGGCAGTAGAACCATCCAGAAAGAAACCTGACACATGTCATACCTCAGCTGTTGTAAGCAAAGTGTGGCATTTTGTAACAGGTGACAATCTATAAACACACAGGTCAATGGCAAAAGCCATTCATGTGCCCCAATTAAAATTACACAACATAATCAAGAAGAATCTACATCTGGAAAAGCAACACAAGTTGCTTCCACAACTCATCATCTGCTTGTAGCTGCTCCACCCAGGAGATTAGCTGTCAACACTCGCCATACCTGTCTGTCCTGGGCCTCCCTCACAAAGTCACTGTAGCTAGACTGAACCACTCCGTGACATCTGTGACCCATTTTCTCTGCAGTTGACCTGTCTTTCTACAACCTTCCACCTTCTCTATCAAAGTTCTTTGAATCTTATTCAAATAATAATAATAATAATAATAATTTCTAATAATATGTCAAAATACTGACACTTTATTTTTAGATGTCTGCTTTATTTTGGCCATTTCCAATATTTCCTCATTTGTTTAATACTCTATATGATATTTTCAACATTCTTTTAAGCATCCACATTTCCAACACTTCTACTTTGATCCAGAGGTTTTTTTATTAGTGTCTAAGTCTCTGCAGCATACAGGAAAATGGATAGTACATTTTACAAGTTTCTTCTTTGTCTCTTACCTAATGTTTCTTGTGGTTAATACATCTTCCATATGGAAGTAATTTGCTCCTGTAATTTCTGTCTCTTGACTTCTGCCTCACATTTACCATTTTCAGTTATTAGTTGCTTCAAGTAGACAAAATTGTTCTATTGTGTGACCCTCCACTTTGATGTTGACTCTAACTTTGTCTTTTACATATCTCTTCGCAACCTTGGTTTTTGCTTCTTTATGTTCAAAACTAAGTTCATTATTCACTTCCTCTAACTCTGCCAGCAGTACTGTATTGTCTGTGTATATCAGTGCCATTATATTAACCCCTTCAATTCTTATTCCTGGGAGCTTATATATATATCTTTAAGTATTTGATCGGTGCAAAAGGTTGAATAGCTTTGGCAAAAGTATGCAATCTTGTCTTACATCATGCTTAACACTGAAAGTATTTGACTGACCTTCCTCAAGACTAATACTTGCTTTTTTGCTCCCAGTACAGGTTCTGGATGAATCTCACATCTCTACTGTCTCTGTCACACTTGGTTAACATATGTATTATCTTTTGACGGTACACCCTGTCAAAAGCATATCTATATGTTCTAGCTCACTTCCAGGTATTTATCAAAGATTGATCTAAGATTTAATATTCCTTTTCTATTTCTCATATTTCTATCCATCCTGATTTTCAGAATTACTTTCATGAGATGGCTTATCAAGTTTATGATTCTGTATTTACATTCCATTGCCTTTTGGGTTTTGGTAACCTTATAAATAAAGATCTGTAAATTTTGTCACATAAATGTGCTATTATCTTTAACTCTGCTTCATCCAGTACCTTCAGATGTTTTGTCATTACTTCATCAATACCTGGTGCTTTTCGTATTTCATCATTTTTAGTGCATATAACACTTCCTACTTCATAAAGCTTGGACCAGTGTCTACCTCTATCACTATGGGTTCTCCACGATTAGGGTCATTGTACAAGTCACTTGTATACTCTGTCCATCTTTTGGCCACTGCATCTCTTTCAAACAGAATTTTTCAATCCACGACATATCCATTCAATTGTTGCATACCTCAAAAGCTGGATATTGAAACATTAATCATGTTATTTCATATAGACACACCGTACCTATGGATTTTTGTGCAATTGAACTGTTTAACCCGATGACTACTGGCTACTAAGGATAACAGACACCATAAATTACAAAGAAAATTACTTTACAGCACATAAAAGATTAGTCCTGGTCACATTTCTCTCATCATAGGCAAGATTTATGTTGGAATTCAAAACTTAAGCTCTTCAGTGTATTGACACCCTAACTGTGAGAATGTCACAGCTTCCCCTGTATTTAATGTTTCACAACCAATATATGGGTTTTATTGTCGTCACTTGTACATTGAGTTTTAAACCATTTACAAAATATCAGAATAAGCTTTTTATATATCAGTTAGACTGTTTTAATAACAATAACAAAAGTGTGAGTCTTACTACAAAGTACAGATAGTAAAGAGGAAAAATATAAAATTCTTACATGGTATTAGTAGTATGTACAAATCACACAAGGTTATCACTCTAAATACTGGATCATATTTTTATTATGAACTGAATATAAAATTACACTAAATTATTGAACTTAAAAATACTGATTTAAATGCAAAAGAATATAAAAATCACAAACTCTTTCAGGTCAAAATGTTTAGCCTAATCCACATAAACACCATGCACTCACCACTTGATAAATCTTAACCCTAACATTCATGGATCAACTTCTTTCCTAAAAAACATATCTATTTTGAGAAAATTTTTCAATACAATGATTAATATAAATAGATATATGATATAGCATGATTTAAGCTACTATAGAAAAATAAAAGTCACATATATCCCATGCAGTTGTTTCTAGAAGCAAATTTTCTAAGGCTTATAAAAAAAATACTATTGACCACTACTAAAAATACAACCTCTACATAAAATGGCAGTTACTATAATAAGCACCACCTACATTCATATTGTAAAATCCAGAGAACAACGTTTCATCATGTGCTTAGCTTATCATCCTATGATTTGTCAAACATGAAATACAGCAATTTGGAATAACATGGTACTGAAATTGACACCTTGAAGAGGATTGGCTAAAAGTTTTACCACCAAGGTTTAACACACCCAGACGCTGTTTTATAAAGAAAACAGACTAGAAAAAGGTTTAGATACCAATCATAGATGGCAGATCCAGCACTAAAGTGCAAGGAAAACATTTTAAAAAAATGTTGAACACATTTTTTTCTTATAGGGCACTTATTTATAGTCTCAAATGTATTTTGGGATTTTTTTTTATTAAACTTCTCTTCAAACTTCATTAAATAATACAATTTAGGACAAGTAAGCAAATATTATGCAATTATTTACAAAAAATCAAATCTGAAATCCAATAATAGATAAATTCTCTTTAATTTTTTGAATTTACCATTAGGAAACCATTGTTCTCATACACTAGAATGTTTATGGTAAGTAGCAAAGGAGGGATATGCTTTGGACACAACAGCTTTACAATAAAGCCTTTTACAATAGAAACTACACTGCAGTGCTACTGTGATGATACACAATCATCAGACAGAGCATGACTGGACATAGCAACATGAACTGTAAGGATGTGGTGAGACTCCAAAATCATTTCAACATAATGTACTCAACCTTTGTATTAGCAACTATATAAAATTGTGTTTGGAAAAATACATCAATACAAAGCTAATAAAATTAAGAATCATAATTATTTTCATATTTTGTTGCTTTAGACATTTTATATCACTAGAAAGTTTTTACTCTTTATTATGTTTCTCTTATTTCTAGGTAGTTTTAAACAAAGTAATCTTGGAAAAAAGGTTTTACATTCAATTAACCATGACCTATGGAACTCCACAGAAAGTTACAAAAGTTTGCAGTATATACTCACCCTACATTTTGTAAAACAAAGTGGTGTTAGGTTTACACATAATCAAAATATATATCAAAGACTTAAAAAAGCCTGCCTTAGCTGATACTAGTAATCTTTCACAATCTTTTCTATTTTAATTTTTTATAAAAACTTTGTTTTAAAAAGATGTTAAAAGTAATTTTCAAAATAAATTTACCATGCCCTTTTTGTGTGCTCCAAAAAATATTGGAGTCCATGCCCAGTTGAGAGCTAATTGTGTTCCATAAAGTGCCAGTGGAAGTTTAGCATCACCACTGAAACCACCTCCATCTCGCCAGACAAGGTAGGAAGCAACACCCATACTAGTGTACAAAGTTCCCCAAACAGGTCCAAACATCCAATTTGGTGGACGCCAATCAGGTTTTCTTAAGGTCTATCAATACCAAGATCAGCCTTTGCATTTATAATGACATATATAAAAGAGCAAAAATAATCTAATTATTCTTCAAAGCTAACAACTATAACAATTAATTCACCTCTCCTAAAACATTACACAGACAAAATATTGGATCTGGCATATGAATAGCTATAAAAATTATTTCACAACAACTTAACTGACTGGTTTCATTTAGCACAATTGCAAGCTAAATTGAGCAAATCACTAAACTATTATACTAATTAAGTTCTAATGTAACTGAATCACTTAACAATGTCTACAGTGCAATTAGATATTCAGAACTTTAGTTGGAATCATAAACCAAATTCTGATATGTAATGACTCAAATAAATTGATACAAATTACAGTTCACTGACTTAATTTAGTTGTTGTTCAACAACTGATGATATGAATAGTGCCTCAACTACTACTTGTCATATCCCAGCCAGCCTGATTTACCTAGTATTAGGCAAAAGGCCTCATTGGCACTGGATGTAGTGAGATTGACTTATTACATTCTTCTCTAATTAATAAGTTTTTACAATTTAATAAATACTGTACAAAAACAAACATGAGAAGAAATAAAATTGTAACACTGAGTACTAGAATCTAGAAAAGTTCTCATAAACTTGCATATAATAACACTAATTATATGGAGTATTATTTTCAATTTGTTGGAAAGGGTTCAGAAGAGGGCTACAAGGATACCTGGGATGAAAAAGTTATTAAACAAGGACAGGATAAGACCTCTGAAATTGTTTTATTTTATAAAAATGAAGACTAAGGTGTTTAACATTGTTAAGGTAATTGTTAATGTTGATGCATCATCTTTTCTCATACTTAATGGGGAGAATGGTAGAACTAGGGAACATAAATGTTGGTAGGGTAGAAGTAATCTTCAACCAAGACAGTTTATTTCTTTAACAGGATGGTTGGCCTTTAGAGTGGGTTGCCTTCAGATGTGGTGGATACAGTAAATTTAAGGTAAGGTTTGATACATTTAAATAAGGGCTAGCTTTGAGCTTACTGTTTTGTTATAGTTTTCTAAATGTTTAGTGGGTTGGATGGTCTAGTTTGACTAAATGGCCTTTTGTGGTCCTTAAATTTTATGTTATTTATATATTTATATACACATAGGGTTTCTGATTCTCGGTTTTAACTGATAAACACAGATAAAACAACCTCAAACAAAAATTATGAAATTGATGTTTTTCCAATTTACATTAACGTCTCCACTTTTCTGAATCACTGTGCTCAGAAGATTTAAACCTTTCCATACGAGCTCATCCCTTAGTGGTAAGTTTGTTTTTATAATTTCATATAAGATATTCGCTGCTCTTACAAAGCTTTAATATAAACAGAACTATGTTTTGCACCTGTTATTACTCCCATAAGCAAAATTAGTGTGGAGTGAATATATGATATATTAAACCCAAAAATTCTGAAAAATATTGATTTTAAGATATCTAAATAAAACTACAAAGCTAAAAATAAACATTGAAAAACAGAAACCCTAGTTATATATATGAAGTCCATGGCAGGAATAATACTAATATTACATAAAACTAATAGTGAATATGTAACAATGGAAATATACATGAAGGAAAGGACACTAGAAAAATTCTTACAATAGTCTGTTTTGTAATTAATATGTATCAGAAAGAAAAAAAAAAGTATTTCATCTCATTTATGGTATTTTACACTGAAAATACATATACGCATCACCGAGACAACTAAAACACGTAAACATGTTCTTTTCATGCTGAAATATGAATAACTTAAAACTCACAGGAGAGTAAACAACAAGTATAGCTATGTCTAACAGTATTCACATTATAAAAGTATTGAGAACAACAATTTTACACACAAGCAATCATATCCTGTTTTTAACTGTGTGACAGATAGTCTTCAATATTGTTTGAGTTCATAATACTAATTGTGACACTAATATCTCAAACAAATAAATATAAAAGTGACCAAGAAAGATCATCTCCACGTGGAATTTATTGAACTTCTATGTAAAATATACTTAAGTTTTTAAGAAAATCGGGATAGTAATTATTCATATAGTTAGAATACCTCAGACAACAGCAAAAAAATAGAAAAATAGACTAACACTACCTCATACCACTCAGGAACTTCTCGTTTGGTAATAAAAGCTCCAGCTAATCCTCCCAAATGTGGGGCTATCACTGCAGCTATCAATGGCCCATACTCTGACATCTAGGATAAAAACAAGTAAACACACTAGATGTTTTCATCATGATACATAGAGAAAACAATACTTAAGAATAATATTTCCATCAATGAGCACACACACATTAGAAACATAACAACCATAATATATTAAGTAGATGAAAGAGACAGTTGTAATATTTTACCAAATTCTTTTAAAAAAGTTGAAGACTATGAAATATGTTATTATTTCAACACAACTACAAATATTCTAACAATTAATTACTTTATGAATAACAGTTATACTACAAAATACACTAGTAATGACAAATACAACAGTTGAATACAAAAAGGTAGTTAATACACAGTTTAAGAATGCATAGATACTGCACACAATTATTTTGCATCTTTTTTTGTTAAAATTTAATTATTTGAAAATATTATATTTCAATAATCACTGGTGTGTAAAGGCAATCCCTAAATATATAGGTGATAGTTGCTATTGTTTAATAAATATCATACATAAACAATTTACTGCTGAGTTATGATGTTGTTTTAATACATAAAAAGTTGACTCTGATGACACATGGTAAACAGAAATAACATTTAACCCTCTATATATGAGCTTGGTCATGTTGATCAATCTTGTAACCACCACCTAACCATACGATAACTCTAACTTTACTAAGTATATCCTTTATGAAACTTAGCAAGCTTTTAATAAACATTACAAGTTTGTTGTCCACAGAAAATTTAATCTTTTAATATAGTATTATTACTGATAATTTGTCCATAAATTTATGAGGCTTTCACTGGCCCAGTCTTAGTGCAAGGTGACTTTCATGTTAAGAATAAAAACTTTTTCAAACTAACAATTTTCATAATTCACTCGCATAACCACTAGAACTTCTTATATGAATATCAAGTTATTTTCAGTAAAACTTTATAATTTATGTTATTTTCTCTACACTAAACTGTATACAGGATCAGTCCACTTGACCAACCTAGTACTCACCATGTAACAAAACAATGTCAAATAAATCTAAATAACTGATATTTTTATAAATTATAGTATAACTACACACTGTAACAGGCAATTACACACCATATATTTCAAAGCTAATAGATTTTTCCTTTATATTTATTTCTTTACAGTTGCACTTACGTAACTCTTTTAGAGTACGATAACAATTATTTATTGTGTGACAGCTTTATGTTAAAACAAAGGATCCAGTTATCAGCACGCTCTTTGAATTACATAAACAAGATAAAGATGTGCACATGTTATCATGAGTGTTTTATTTAATTTCATGTAAGTTTTGTTATCTAACCTTTTAAGTTTCTAATTTTTAAGTTTTTAGTTACTTTTTTAACAATAAATAAAAAGTCAACATAAAAAACAAGAAATATGGTACTTACAGCTGAAAACATGTCTTTTTTTCAAGCTTTTAATTTTATACTTGTACAATGGAAGTACACATCAAAACTAGGCCTACTTCTTAGTAAAGACAGCAATCTCAGAAATTAAGAAAAATTAAAATATGCAATTTAGAATACAAAATATTATGATATATATAAAATAGAATATACTGAAACTAATATATATAATTTATCTGGCTTTCTAACTAAGTTAGAAATGGCTTATATACTTCCCACACCTGGTCCAGCAGAGTTCCAACACTATCAAACAAATAAAATAGCAGTAGAATGTTCTAAATCTGTTAATTAATAGCTCTAGAACCCATCACATTCAGTTTATTGAAATATTTTCTTTCTATTGGTTAGAAATAATCCAATAGCAAATTTCACAGAGAATTACTGACATTTTTTGAAAGACAGGATGTGCTAGAAGGGGTGTGACATAAGGATTCCATTTTATTGTGTATATATCAGAAAAGCAAAAAGACTGGAGGCTACAAGTTGATATTTCATCTCAGGGATATCTAGAGTATAAGTTAAATCTGTTTGAAAATTAGAAGCTTATATAGGGGATGAAAAAATATCTAAAATGGGCAATGCAGAGAAGTGAAGATTGAAATGTTATTCAAATATTTCTTTTTGAATTAAGCAATTAAAACTTTCATAATATTAACATTTAAATTATTTTACTACATTTTGACACCAATTTTATTAACATACATTGATAATAAAGTATATAATATAAATACAATGGGAAAAGTTTGACTATGAATATGACATACCTACCTTACGGTATAATAAGCTATAAATTGATCATCCCACAATTCTAATTAACAAATGTATGGCAAAATTCTAACGTTGTCTGTAGAAAACGTAACAAGTTATCAATTGAACGTAAGATGTTTGAATGTCCTACTGTATGAAAATTGTAATAATAGTAATACAAATAGTAATAAATGAAGCAAAAGAAATAATTTGTAATAGTCTTTAACAAAATGCGATATACTTCAGTATAGTACAGAACAATAAAATAAGCATTTTCTATTTGTGAGCATAATAAATTTTAAGATAGTTAGTCATCACGCTGAGAATTGGAAAGAAGCCTAAAAGTAAAACTAAAAGCCCGTTCTTTGAAATAATTCTACCAATAGGTACATCACAAGTTAATGATAATATCTGATAGAATTTCTATCTGATATTGTTATACACTTTTGAAGTGTAAGTATTTAAAAAAATAATACTCCATATTGTGAAATCAGTTTTGTTTTAAGTTGTTATATTGAGAAAAATGGCAGTTTTCTTTCCGTACAAACATAAGAGCTATGTTCCAAGGTTCTTCCAGTTGAAAGTCGAAGGACCATTTTCATGTTTAGACAATTAACACTAAGAATGTTAACGTAAAAAAGATGTAAATAATAAAATTATTTTCTAAGAAGTAGCGGGCGTTAGTTGTTCATGCTAACATCAATACCAAGCTAACACATAGTCACAATTTATGTTTACCTTAACCATATATTGAGATGGTCTCTAAGAGCTTTTTCGGAAAGATTTTCACAACAGCTACTCCCTAGCGTAATGCCGCCTGAACTTGATACAAGGTTAATTGTTTGTAAAGATAGTTTATTGATGTTACGTAACGTTAGTTACATAACACTTTACCTTCGATAATCAATGTTCAGACAACTATAAAAAGCCACAAATGTAAATATTTATATAAAATCACGAATTAAAACTTATGAGAAATTAATGCTACATGAAAAGTCACAAGTAATTATAAATAACTAAATGACTATATACATATATATATTAAAATATGATAACGGGGAACCCATTTTTTAGAAAATAAAAGTTTTGAGACGGCTTGTCTGGGTAATGAAAAACTTTATTATAAATGTACGACGTTTCAACAAGATTTTGTCATCCTCAGAGTTTTTCATTACCCAGTCAAGCCGTCTCAAAACTTATATATTTTTGTATATATATGAGTGTGTAAAGGAAATTATTTATATTTTTAGTTCTCAATTTTAGTTTTCAATTAAAACATTGGCTAAATCCTTTCTTCCAGCGAGCATATCATTGATTTTCTATCTTCTAGAGTAAAATATACATTTTCAAAATTATTAATTGTGTTGTTTCCACGCTGCCTTTCCTGCAGCACTTTCTTCTTTAATAGGCGACTAACGGAAGGAATATTTCAGTATTGTAAATGTAATCTGGGTTAAACGAGTTAGAATTAATATATCCTTGGTTGGCTGATCATGACGTTGACTGAAGGTGACAACTGGACAGACAGATCGCAAGTTGACACTATCCATGGACAAAGAAAGCGAGTTTATATTGTAGATCCTAGTGTACTTTCTTGATTCAGTTTTCCATTAGTTGGCCAATACTTAGAAAATCTGTTTTTTTTTTAGATTTTTTAACTTTTCCTCTTTTGAGATAGTTTGTTTGTTTTCAATTTCGCGCAAAGCTACATGAAGGCTATCTGCGCTAGCCATTTCTAATTTAGCAATGTAAGACTAGAGGGAAGGCAGCTAGTCATCACTACCAACCACCAACTCTTGGGCTACTCTTTTACCAACGAATAGTGGGATTGACCGTCACATTA